CGCTAGGCGGATAGGCGGGACGCCTACCGCCACGCAGAGGCCGTCCCTCGGGGTGGATGCACGAGCGTGCGCAACAACTCTCAAGACACCCCGCTGCGCCGCCGCAAGCGCCAGCCAATTTTTAGACAAGTGTGGTAATTGAGTCTTCAACGCAGTCTCATTTTACGGAATAAATTTTCCGCTTGCGTCCGTCGTTTGTGAATATGAGTAGATATGTTAAGCTCTTTGCAGAACCAGACCCTCACGTACCTAACTACCTCTGGGTACTTAATTTTGTTACCCTCTATAATGATCTTCAGCGGTTTACATTCGTGCCTGTCTTTCTTTCTTCTGAGGTGTGGTTTATATTCTCGGTAGTTGAGATTGTTTTTATCCCTGTAATTTCTCTTGCCCCTAAGTTCTATTTCTCGCTTTATGGCGATTGCCTCTGTTTTGGTTTTTGATAACCCGAGCTTGGTATTCTTGCACCAAGTGAGTATTGTGTCAACGACTGCCTGTTCTTTGGCTTCAAGGGTTTCTCTAGAATTACCATCTATAATGACAATTAAATCGTTCGCGTACGCTGCATAGCGTTTCCCATATTCGAATTGATCAAGTGTTTTTAATAGATCATCGAGCATAGTTTCCAGCACAGATCCCTGAGGGCATCCACGCGTGGCCACTTTTGTAACTGAGCCAGTTCCTCATGATAAGCTAACTGTACGATCTGTAAAGTAATTTTGAATTACTTTGAGATATTTTTAGGACAGTTTCGTGACTTTAGTCCCTCGAGGACTAAGGGCCACTATACATTATCAAACGCGCTTGAAATATCGAAGTGCAATGCAACTACGTTACGTTCCGTGGACTCTTGTACCGCTCTTCGCACCGCCAGTAACGCATCTACCGTTGATCGCCCTTCCATAGATCCATATTGGTGGTCTGAAATGTTTCCTTGTTTGAAGACGCTAGTTGAAAGACGAATTTTTATAAGTCTTTCAAAGATTTTGCCTAGTACTGATAAAAGACATATAGGGCAGTATGATTTAGGGTCCGCTACATCCTTGTCGGGACTCTTTAGGAGCATACGAATTGTTCCCTCCTTCCAAGCCCGAGGAGAGACACATTGAGACAAGCATTCGTTGAATAGTGCCAGAAATCTTTCTGGGAGGTATGCGATTGCACGTTTAACAACCTTCACTTCCAGCAGGTCTAGTCCTGGAGCTTTTCCGTTCTTGAGCATTTGGACGACTTATTTGAGTTCTTCTTTGTTGAATGGTTTTGCATCATCTGTGTTAGGTAAGTTGAGAGCGTTTATCTTTATCTTGCTCTGTTCATCTGTATCCACTTCTGGATGGTCATTGACCACGTGTACTGCCAGCAGTCGCTCCGCTGTTTTTTGAAAGTTTAGGGTTCTATTAACCTCTTCAGTACGAAGTGCATTCATAACTTTTCCAGCTCTTTGTTGTCGCCTTTTTTATCGCTTGGGAGTACCTTCTTACCTGCTGGCGGTATCGAAGTCTCGCTGTCGTGATTTGGTGGGTATCTGCACCAAGCTTTTTAATGCGCTGGTATCTATGGCGCAATCTATATACACTACGCTTTAATCGGGACAAGTGGGTGTTCCACTAGGGATTCGCTTCCCTCGGGGCTTTCCGACGCGGCATGGATTTTTCGCAAAGATCTCTTGACCCATTTCCGAGAGTGTAAGTGAATCCATCAATGTTCATCGGAGAGTCCAGCAAAAAGTGTGCTCTCTAGCTCGGACATCAACTTACCAAAGGCTTCTCAATCAGCTGCTTTGACATTAAACCGTCGAGTTGCCTCTGTGTAAGTTTCACCCTGCACTCCACTTGGACCAAGCTGTATTCCGATGGCCATATGGTCTGATCCCTGAACCTACTCTTTTTCGACTGACTATTTGCTAAGGGACTGTGACAGTCCCTGAGTAGCTACGGTCACGTCTATGTATGATTTTTCGCTTGGGGAGCTGTATGTGCGAGTTTTAATTTACCATAAATCCAATTAATTCATGAGTTTACAGGGAATAACCGAATTATTTATTTAATTATTTTATTTTCGAATTTCCTACCGAACGCTTTAATTATTTATGAATATCAATATATTTCAATTTCCGTGGGAAGCTTGATAAGAATTTTCTATATATGAACAAGTGCCCTGGTTGTTGATTTTTCTTTTATCAAGGTTTTTAAGTAAATAATTCAAAAGAAAGTATTCAATTTGAAATCTTAGTTCTCGAAATTTCTAGAGAGATTAGATAGTAAAAGAATATTCTATTATCAATTTTTTAACAACCAGCGATGTTCATTCACAGCCAGAAAAGAAAGGACAAAAGAAAACGAAAAAGAAACCGGTTTAACAGATTTCCACACGTCTAGGGCGCCAAAATGTAACAAACTCCGTGGTAGGTCACCTGTTGTACATGACCAACTAGGTGAAAACCATGAAATTAATTTATCAATATGAAAGTTATATATCAATGTTATAACCTGAATCTAAATATTTTTTTTTGTTTTTATTAATAAATACTTTAATAACAAGCGGTTGAAGCAAAGGAATAGAAGTAACAGGAACACAGAAGAAAAGGAAAGTAAGCAGGTGAAGAGAAGAAAAAAATCAATAATGAAAAAAATAGAGACGCCAGGAAAAGGATTTACGCAAAGGCAGCTCAGGTAAAAACCATGTGGGGAACATAGAGCTTTAGAGCGCATGCTAGATAGGCACAGGTGAATCCTGCGTGGGGGGGGGGCACTAGACGTTGCAAGGAGAACATTGTATTATCGTTGGTTGGAGTGTCTAGTGGTGGAACCAGGAAGTTCAATTGTTGTTCCTGCACATTTTTTGGATGTCTCGACGAGTATGCAAGCCCCGGTGGACCAGAGGGCTGGGTTATCTAGAAGAAGAGGAGCTTCAGTAAGCCTGAATATCTTCATACTTTCTTCTATCTCTTTCCTTTTGCTATATTCCCTAGTGCGTGTGAGTGCGAGAGAGAGAGAATGAGTATAGCCTGGTACTAGTACATGCGTTGCGGACCATCTGTCCTTTTTCCTCTTGGAGGAATTTACTTTGTTTTGAAAAATAAAAGGCGTCGAGAACGTTCTCGCGAATGATCGTCTAATCTTCATTAATTGCAGAGCGATTCATTATTATTATCGTTGACATTGAAATTTATTTTGAATATCAAAGTTTCTTTTGCGATTAAGGCAAATAAGTAAATAAGTAAATAAATTAAGGTAAATTCAGTTGAATATCATTATTGTTGAGTAATTATTTTTGATTTAATTGAATTGTTCTTTTTTGAGTTTGTATAAATTAATGCGTTTCTTTAATTGATTACCAAAATCTCACTGGTTTTACACTTTATAAAAATACAGTTTTTTTTTTAATTAATAAACTGCTCATGATTAAGATTAATTACTGAGTAACATTTTTTTTTGTGTAATTTCTAATTAGATTTAATCAGATCGAAAACATTAGATAGTATTAAATTCCAAAATTGGCTAAATTAAATAGATTCGGCTTGCTCAGAACAGATCTTATTAAATATAACTAAAACTAGTTCCAGCGGAAAATGTCTATTAATTAAACTAAAAATTATTTTAAATTTAGATATTATAATTAAATAATGTAGTTGTAATGCCGAAAAAAACTTTTGAGGTAAAGTAATGAAACTTATTAAGTAGACTCGATCCTGCACCCTTGTAATCGTAGACTTGCATGGTCACTACTATGCTAACCTAAGAAATTTGAGATACTATTTTTTAATCACTTATTTGTATAACTACGGCTATTTATTCTTATTACATTCCTTACAACAATAATCAACTTTTATTAGATCTGATTTTTTTTATCAATGAAAATGATGTGCTTTTCTTCAGATTTGATTATGTTAACTAAAATATTAAATCTAATTGAATAGAATAATTCTATTGACTTAACTAGATTTAATAGTACATAATCTGATTAGATATGATGAAATTTACATGTGACACAAAAAGAAACTAAAACTAAAAACTTCACAGTTGCAGTAATTGTGAACGAAAAAAAAATATATGGGAGCATAAGATATTTTCTGCAAACAAATAATCAATTGAGATTTGTTTCAAATGTATTTAAAGATGAATCGGAAACATTTCTCTCCATCAATGTACTAAAATCAGAGTGCAAGACATAATTCCCATTAAACAAACCAATTCTTTTATGATACTTAGGGTTGATGACATAAAATGTATACGCCATATTACTCGGGTTAAAAATTACATTTGTCTGCAACCAAACTCAATTGAGATGAAAGTGTAAAAAAGTTAGATAAATATTCAAAAATTATTCTTGTCATTTTTTAGAATTTTTTAACATTACAAAACTTTTGATGCATCAAATTTTATCGACCGGAATTTATAAAAAATTAATTCCAACCTGATTCGATTTGATTTAGTATAAAGATGAAACATTAAATCAGATCGGATCAAACTTTTTTTTCAGTCGTTAAATATTATATTTGATGGGATCTAATTGAGTATAAAAATAAAACATTAGATCAAAACAGATTTATAGTTTGCCTAAAACTAGTGCGCAAAGATTCATATGCTTCAATATATCTATATATTTCCGCTCGAGGTGCCTTAATAGGATATACTTTTATTTGATCTATTTATTTGCTTGAAACTAGTGCGCCAAGATTCCTGTACCTTCATGTATTTATATTTTTCTCCTTGAGGGGCCTTAATTATTGTGCTTTGAGTTCCTAAGGATTCCAAATGAGAAGTTAGATGTCTAAGCAGGCTACATTGTATCCCGATAAATTGCTATTATTATAATTCTTTTTTATTTCAGAAATATATTTTTATTAGTAATTAAAAATCACTCTCTAAACGTAAATAAAATAAAATTACTAAAAAAATGAAGCAATGGATGATTGCTACTTTGAGGTAATTGTCACTAATTCAGATTTAGCAAGCAGTTTATGTATTAATCAAAATAAATTTTTATTGTGGGCGAAATAAGACTGTATAAAAGTTGAGTTTAACTTCCGTCGAAATCACACATTTATTATTCAACTTTAAATTTTTTATTTTTTTTGCCTTTCTTTTCCTTCTTCTTATCTTCAGCAGGTTTAAAAGCATTTATAATTTCCTGTTGTTTCACCTGTGTTTCAATATGAACAACGTTGGGTTTCCTTCTATATCGATTTACCGCAGCAGGTGGAAGAAATTCTATTTCCATATCAGAAACAGTAGAACTCGTTGCAACAGAGCTGTTATTTTTTTTTGTATTAATTTTTAATTGAAACGGTTTTATAGGTTCATCAAGTTGCGGAATATCAGTATCTTTCTTTTTAATTGGATACATGGTTACATAATAAACTCCTTCTCTTCTTTGAATATGAAGAGTAGCGGGAGGTTCGTGTTCTTCCTTCTCTTCTAATTTTTTTGAGTGACCTTTTTTCAATAATATAGCACTTTTACTTTTTAATTTTTTCCCTCGCATATCGGTTGATGATATTAATGACATTTTACTTTTCTTCTCTATCAGCCCATCTTTAACATCTTTTATTATCTCACGTATTTGACGAGAGATAGCACCAGGCTTCCACCCAACTCGTGGTTTCATTCTTCCAGTCACTTCATATCTCGTCCAAAACCATCCCATGTTCGGTGGGACTCTTTCCAGCCGATCATTACAATTTTTATGACCGTAAATAAATTTTGGATATTTTTCACCTCTTAAATAAACATAACGAATTTTTCTAGGTTTATTTTTTGACCTAAAATCACTTGGAGAACTGGAAATCATTTGTCTTTTCCTCCGCCTTAATTTAAGTTGTTTCTTTTTTCTGTTATCGTTGGATTTCTTCTCTTTGCTTGTATTTAATTCAGTTTCAGTGTTAACTGTAGTTAATGATCTTTCACGATCAGTTTTTTTACGTCTTGCTCTACACATTGACTCTTTACAAGGGCCAGTTTCATCCTCCCCACTCCATTCACCTGTTTTGTAGTTATCCTTTCTATATGCTCCAGGTATAATTGCTTCTTGAACAATTCCATCTCGACCTGGTACTGCTATTGTAAATGGTGTAGCATTAATCCACGGTGACGTTGAAATTGATTTAATCGCTGGATAGCAAGGCTTACCACATTGTGGATTTACGATTGATGATTGCGTAGAAAACCGTCTTGACATTTCTACGAGCTTTTCTTGTTCTTCAAAAGCTCTACAGTGAGGACTTTTAGATGAATCAATCACATGTAATCCAGGTGGATCCAGAGCTTTATCAGAAGAATCAAAAAATTCTTGAGCTTCCTCAAGTTTTCGAGTAAGACATTTGGCGGGAATGCATTTTTTTTCTGTACAAATTTCTTTATAACTCTCTAAAGATTTTAAAGCTTCTTCATTCTTGAGACAAGTACAATCAGAAAATGGAGAACATTGGTAATTGTTTGATTTTGAAACTTGAATTGGATGGCAAAATTTTGATGACAAAAAATGAGTTCTCAGCTCATGATAATCATTAATATCATCATTAGAAGTATCTTTAAATCTTTCACCTCGTTGTCGTGCATCCTCAACATTCTTGAAACATTCAGTTATTCTCCAGTTGTTACATTTGCAATTTTCTTCTTCAACACCTCCACCACCTCTCATTCTCTCGTCTAGACAGTACATACGATTGTAAACCTTATTACTTGGCTGATTTTCTACACAATAGGTCGATATAATACGTAGTACCTTGTCATAGTTACCATTGTCTTGGTTCTTAGTAATACGGGAATGCATCGTTCTTGAACAGCATGATTTCTTACAGCCACCAGGACAAACAAGGAAGTTTTTGTTAGATTTGTGATTATCAATATCTTGTGTATTAGTAGATTGTTCCGTTATTGCAGATTTGCACCCGCATGTGGGTTCATTTGGATAAGTACGATAAATGAGACTTCTATATTTACTATTATTAAGTTTTTCAGCAGCAGTTAACCTTTCGAATTCAAAATTATTCATGCCAACTTCGGATAATTTAAATTCGTGAATTTAATATTTCGTTCAGAGAAACTATTTATTTAATTTAAATGATTCTTCACTCATAATTTATTTTTCAAAAAATACATTTTTAAAATACAAATCGAATATTAATACTTCATTTGACAATAAATTTTTATCCTTGTTGACAGATTGTAAAACTTGAATTTCGTACAAGATTAAATTGTCATGGCAACAGATTTCTACAACATCGACTGTTCAATTCAGGAACATTTCAACTTTCTAACTTGGCTTGATGAGGCGCAATGATGTGTTTTTATTTGTAGACTTCTTCACCTTTTTCTTTGAATTAACTTGTCTTTTTTCTTTTTGTTATGTTTCTTTGAAGATCTACGACGTGGATTTTCTTCTTCAGGTGACTCTGTGGGTTCTATATGAATTTCAGAAATTCCACTATCAGCTTTTTGTTTCTCTTCTGTAGTTTGACTAGGTGGTATCACACGTTGCACCAAGTACCGACCCTCTTCTCTATCATTCTTAAAGACAAATGAGTTCTCTTCCATCTGATAATGTGTAGTAACGTATTTTCCTTGACAACCGATCTTTATAACAAGATTAAGATTACCAGATGGATTTCCTCCTGGATCTAAAAGTCCAAATGTACCTTGAAGAACATAAGGTTTCGGCAAATGATCAAAATCATTCGTGGCCATCGTTATTTGATCACATACACAACCAGTAAATGGCAATGTTACTTCAGCAATAGGATATGTATCTTTCAGACAGAATATACCAATTTTAAGAGGTGTTTTTTGCATTTCTTTAACAAGATCTTGCGGTTTCTTGCTGAATAAACATGATTTACCTGTTAAATACGAAATCTTTCCTGTTTTATGTTCTGCATTAAAAATCAAATTAGTTGGGTCGAAATCCATTTGGGTAATAGTAAATATTGGTAATGAAAGAAATTTGATTTTCAACAGCAGAGGAGCACCTCCTGATTCATGAATTTTATCTTGAGTCAGTTCCAAGTCTTGAATTAGTATTTCAAAAAGGTAAAGTAATTCTTCTTGACTACCAAAACAAGTCATAATTAATAATGAATGATCTTCAGAAGAACAAATTTAGTTGATCAATTAAATTTTACTAATAGTCATTACATATCAATTTAAAATTAAATGACTAAATAACAAAAGACAAATTATTGTATATATAAAATTTCATTTAGATTATTGTGAAATGAATATAATTTGATTTTGCTTTCAACACATTTTATCTTTGAGATTGAAAGTAAATATTTATTATGAATTTAATCGGATGTTCATTTCGAGACTTTCTAATTTTTTAAATTTTTAGGCTGTTTGATGTCATGTTGGAAATCTTACGCCATATATAGTTGATGAGTCTAACATTAAAAGTATTTTCTTATATATCACCGGTATTGAGATCATCACAATGATCCATCCTTAAACATCCCTACATCCTTTCTCTTTTTGTCTTGCTCCAATACAGTCAACGTCTCACGAAAATAAGCTGAGTATGTAGATCCTATCAAACCGACATACATCGCGCGAGGGTTTTCTTCTTTCTCGCACGACAGCAGGTTACGAGAGAAGGTTCGAACTCTCACCGCATGATCCACGTTATAAGACACATCAATGAGTTGGTATACATATCACTATACCTGTAGAATACATGTTTCTCCGTTATGCTATAAAGATTCTCAGAGTAGACACCTTTTTCTCTTATATTCTCAATATTTCTGACTGTGTCTTTGGAGAACAAAATCGTGCGTTAATTCAAGAATTATAATGTCAGAGTAAGAGTCACCTTGAAGAGTAGTTTCATATGGGGACTTTAAAGTAGGAACCTAAAACTTGCCATCGGTATTTTTCTTTTTCTCTCTCTTTCTTTCTCTTCATCGTGGTCGTCTTGACAACGTGCTCAAGTATGCACTAATTGGTGCGGTCATTCGGACACAGACAGGCGAGGCCTCGAAACTCAGCGAACACAATCAAACATGAGAATACGCGCTTGGTGAACAAGCCGTGGCCACATAGACAGACGTAACGGCGAGCTAGGAAACCGAGGACACACCACACTGGAGAAGCCAGCCGAAGTTAAATTCCAGCTAAGCGACACGGCGGCTCGTTAAAATGCTTCTGGGGGTTTCGGACGCCAGACGCTCGGTTAATTGGTGATTAGCGATTAAAACGAATCGATCCTTCTTGAATGGCCTCGCCAACAGACAAAGCCACAGTAGTCACTAACGCATGATCAGATGACGATTATCTCGAAAACTTATTTATATTTTTTTACCTAGATACCATGCTCGGAAAAAAATTCATAATAATACCAATTCAATTCTTATACGTTCATAATATAATTTATTGAATGATAATAATAATGGATAGTTTGTTGTGTAACTAGGAAGAGAAGTATACTGGAATAAGTATAGTAAGACATTTGAAACGGTGGATAAAAATGTCTTCTAAGGCAAAGACAAAAATAGTCAACGCGTAGTATAAATTCTTTAATATGTCCACTATGTTGTGAATATGATTTCTTTATCTATATAGAAACAGTAGAAAAATTAAAACTTAAATGTGCAGAACAAAGTTGATATCTTGAGATAATCACAGTATCAATTGCATGCAAGGTTTGTATTGATAAATGAAACAAGTAAAACGTATACCATTGCTAATTTCTATGTAAACACATTTTATAAAATATTAATTTTAATTGATCTGATTCTTTATGTTTTTTTTTATTTCAATAAATTTTGTTTCAATTTTTAATGCAGTTTACGCTACAAAAATTTAAGTAAAATCATTTTTTAAGATTACTTTTTTAGAGGAAAAACAAAATGCATCTCAATTGTATTTTTTTTAGGATAAATATATTTTAACATTCAGAGATATTAAAACAGGCAAAAATTTTTAATAAATATTAACAACATGTAGCATTCGACTAAATATCAAACTTATTGATCACTTGATAACCTACATGTAGAATAACGATATAACAATTAATCTATACATATTTTAAAAAGATAAATAAAAAAATACCCACTGTGAATGAATATTTAATTATTTATATTCATTAAACAAAATTTGATAACGTTTTATTTGTGTGATAGGAACCATTTTATTTATTTTAAATGCATACTCGAATCAATAACTTATCATTGATAATTAGTTGATTACGTTAAACTTATAATATCATTTAACAGGTATCCAAAATTTTTTGTGTCAAGTACATGAAAACGAATTTGATTTTCGAATAAAGAATTAAGTCAATCAACTTTTTTATACTTAATTAATTTAATTAGGTTTTTATACCTTTTTTAGGATTGATCCCAACCCAAATAATTCGTTCCATTATGAAATATTTTCTCTGTCATCCAACCGATAATAGAAGAGAAACCTTTATCGTGCACCGAGCTATATCCCACGACATTATTCCTTCCACACCGTGTTGTCGTAGCACGAAATGTATACTCGTATATCGTGTTATTCAATGTTTACTGTCTGTACATCCATGAACGAGGTTCTTAAGAATCCATTCGTATAATTTTCTTCTACTAGCAGTTTGAGTAAAATTTGCCACTGCACAATAGTTTTTATTTAATGGCTTGAAAGTCAATCGGAAAGATGTTCATTCGAAGTTATTACTGTAACTAAATTGGCTTAAGTAATAGAGGTGGAACTGAGAAATACATGTAGTAATAATAAATAGAGAAAATGTTAAAATTAGTGATGGTGATTGTTGGGAAAGCAAGAATCTACTGGAAGATATTTTTGATGATCTAAAATCAGAAACAATACCAGGAAGCTGTAGATGGAAAAAATGATGAGTATCTTAGTATCAGGATGAAGAGAGAGCTTGAAGCTCGTTTACTCTTTTCAACAGTGAGGTCAGAGGGCGATAGCGGTACTGGTATGCTTTTCCATCGAAGGAAGAAGGCACTTCTTATCCTTTGAACGTTGTCTACATACCACTTTCTGATTCTTCACGACTTTCAATCCATTAGAAATAATCTCAATACACCCGAATATACAAAAAAAACTAGAAAAATCATTGATTTTGATTTAATTCCTAGAATGTCTTCATTACACATTAAAGATATGATCTTGACGGTTTTTTTCTATATGATGAAAAAGGTAATGTGATTTTTTATTTATCTAATTTAAAGGTATGTCTACCTTTATAAGAGTCCAAAAAAGTGAAGCGAAAATGATGATGAGATGGAGAAGTATGAGATACAGCAAGTACGATTCATCGAGGTTGTGTACTTATTAATGAGGCAGCTGAGGTATGGGTTCGGGTGCGTGCAAAGCCTTCATTCTCTCTCTTTCTTTTACATGTTCTTGCTTCCTCAGCAAACCACAGATTGACAAGGTACTCACAAGAAATGTGAATTGCCCAGGAGTCGGTACGAAGCCGCACCAGTAGTACGAAAAATATGGCTCTTTCTCGTGTCTTCGCTCGAATTATTTTTCAATTTTCTGAGACCGGTATGTCCGGTCGCACGATCGGCTCCAATGGTTCTTATGTTGAAGCATATCATACTTTTATATACCTTGTACCCATGCCTCCATGTACATTACCACTATCTCACCTTCATTTTATGCCATTAAAGTTTGCACTCAAAGAGGCCCTAAGAATTGTCGTGACTGAATTCAAGCTGAAAACTATAAAAGAAAAATTGACTCGTCTTGCGCACAGCATTCTCCAAGAACTAACAAAGACAGAAAGAACCAAATGAAAGACGTAAAGTTAATGAAGGTAAGTCACGATATTAAATCGAGAGCATAAATATATACGCGGCGAGAATGTGGGGTAAGCCGTAAGGCACACGACGCCAAACAGATAGATCTAGCCATCGTGCCTTGTTATTACTGTATAAACGAGCATCTGTGAGAGTAGTATGGTGTTCAGATCTAAGTAATACAACATCCCCGAAGTAGGTAACCTCTGAATGCCTTGAAATTGGGCCTAACATTATTTCGCCGACTCTCACAAAGAAGTCTGCCAGACGAATTAGTTAATCTTATCTAAATGCAATGAATCTTCATTACAAAATAGTAGTATAATTATATTGAGAACTGGGAAAATCATCAGTCAAATGGAAAGTAGAAAATTTTTAAGTCATTTACGTGCCAAGAACATAAGGTGTAATTTAACACATCATGACATGGCGCCACATTGTAACTTGTAATTTCAATCTTGCTGAGATAGCACGTTGTATTCAAAATCATAAAGGATTCGAAGGAGATACTTAAGTTCTGATCGAGTCTTGATTTTGATAGGATACTTAGATATTGCTATTAGTTATTATTTACTCATTTTTATCCTCTTCAATGAATCAATGAAAATAATTGCAAATCAATGACTATTCATTGACTGCCAGTACCGAGTATATCACTGGTTACATTATTCACTTATTTAGAGTTAATAACCAGTGAAAAGTCACTGATTCATTTCAAGGTAGTCTATTTTTTTATTTTACAGCAGTTTTTCATATTATTTCAAAACCTATACAACAGTAGAAAGGCATGCTAAGTGCGCCAGGAATGATCAATTCTTTTATATTTTTCATCAGATGTTTAGTTCTTTCATCATATTTGTACGAAAAAAGTTTTAGATTTAATATAAATGCGTAAAAAATTTTATTGATATTCTAAGAAATCTTTTATATTTACTCAGATTATCATCAATACTGATTGTGAGAAAAAATTACTGGTGTCAATGAAATATTTTACCAGTCTCAATGATTTAATTAATTTAATGAATATTTCATCCATTGAGTCTTTTATGCAACTACTTAACAGTGAATCATTTGGTATAAATTTTAATAAAAAAAACATTTTTCCAAATCATTTATAATTTTACTGAGTTGATAAAATAATTTATTTAAATTATTCAATAACATTGTGGGATTTCAATGACAAAATCAATGCATCATTAATCAATATTTGTGATAAAAAAATATTATTATTAATGTTTACAATAGTTTATTGACACTGTTTTATTTTTTTGCAGCTCCACTATAACTTTCCCCTCATACCAATCTTACAAGAGGTATTGGTATGTCAGGCTGACCACGCATTACCCATAGCTACTGGCATCGTACGTGCGTGCACAAGATTAAACCATTTCAATTGCTGCAAAAGGTGGTTATCGCTATACCATATAATAAGCTTGTGTCAATTCCCTTACCTGACATATCAAGAATCGATGTGTCATCTATTGTGCTTAACCTAATAAATTACTTCGTTTACTAAATTAATAACAATCCAATAACCATTTATCATGCATACCTTACAATTAATTATTCTTGAAATGATTTAAAAAAAATTATTTTATTGCGTAAATGTTATCAGCTGAATACATTGACAATTAATAAAAAAAAAACTTCATTAAATTAATTGAGCAGAAATTTTTTCTATATAAAATAACATACTTTATACATAATTCATGCAGTAAACATTTCAAAATCGTCCAAATGGCTTCGTCAGTGTTCCTCACTATCAACATTGTTATTCTTGGAATTCTCACTATTTTCAGTACAGGTAATTACTATTTATTGTTCCTTTTTGAAGCATAATCATAAACTTCTTCAATTTCGGTATCTATTAACAACAGCTAACGCAAAACCGCCATCTAGAATTCTTCGTGGTTCCGATGCTTTTCCGGGAGAATTCCCCTACATAGTTTCTTTGAGAAGATGGAATATACACGTCTGTGGAGGTGCTCTTATCAGTCGTCGACATGTCTTGACAGCTGCTCATTGCTTCATTGGAAGAGTTGATCCTCCTTATACCGAAGAGTTAGTTATCATTACTGGAGCATCGACAAACCGAGCCATTGGTCAAGTTCAACAAGTGAAAAAAGTCACTCCTCACAATGACTTTGAACGTGGATCTACAAGCAGATGGCGTCATGATATCGCTATTGTTACGGTAAAAAGAAAATTGAAATTTATTAAATAATTTATATTTTATTTGTATTTATTTATATCAATTTAAACTTATTGACTGACAGTTGGAAAATGAAATAGTTGAAAGCAATTTGCAAAAACCTATAGCTCTACCAACTGAAGATACTCCTGGAAATGTTTCTGCTGATTTATGTGGATGGGGAGTAACATTACAGAATGGTGAAGAATCAGAAAGTTTGAAAAAAACAAAAGTCAATATTCTTACTAACAATGAATGTAATGAGAGAGATACGAGAATTTTAGAAACCCAGATGTGTGGTTTCAATGGACGACAAACTGGATTCTGCAATGTAAGTTTACTGTCTCTTAACCTGTTTGAAACTATCTAAACAAGTTTTTTTTTTCATCCAAGGGTGATAGCGGCAGTCCTTTAGTTTATAATGACCAAGTGGTAGGAATCGTTTCATTTTCTATTTCATGTGGCTTAGGATATCCTGACACTTACACAAGAGTTTACAAATATTTGGATTTTATTGGAAATGCTACCAAAGATTAACTCACTAGGAAGAAGCTTCTTTCAAATCTAAGTCTCACATAAACTCTATAGATTATTTACAATTTATAAAAATCATAGTAAATAAATGTTGTATATTTTATATACTTTGAAAATCAACTTTATAAAATCAAATGAAAATGATATTGTTATCATAGACAAATTTTTTTGTATCATCAAATAAAATAATCAATTAATTCAAAGTCTTTTCGATTTATTCTATCAATTATTTTAACATTATACTAAAAGTGTGCAGTTTCAAGTGTTTTAAAAATCATAATAACGTTAATCAAATGAATGACATCATATTAAAAAACTTTTAGTGCATTGAAATAAAACTTGAAAATTTGAAATTCATAGCATTTTCGTTATCTTCAGGATCTAAAGACAAACATAAAACCATTTGAAAATTTGATTTATATCATTTTTCTTACTAATCACTTTCTGAACATTTCAATTAATAATTCTGAACAATCATCTTTAACATTTCAATTATTCTCACGTTCAACGTTACAAAGTAGCTATTGGATATTATACACCTCTTTACAAGTATCAAAAAGTATGGCTTGTCTCATGAGTTGATCATTTACCATATAAAATAATCATTTATCAACAACACAATTTACATTTATGTTTGAAAAACTATTATCAACTAATTAGTTAACTATTCAATCAATATATATTGCAAATGTAAAATAAAATATTTGAAAATAGTTAATAGACATTTTAGTTTGATAACAGTCATGATTGATCATGCTTGAATTTTGATTATCATCCTCAGTGAATGTTGAGACTGAATTTCTCACTAAGAATTTTTAAGTTATATACAAACCTATATAACCAGAAGTTATATAGGTTTGTAACGAAAATTGTGATCATCTATCTATTAGAAATAGCGCATCTTGTTCATTGTTTAAAGAGTAAGGAAGCAAAGAGTTGGCAGCCATGAAAAGAGAAAAATATTTGAGGAGAAAGGAAGAAGGGGATAAATAAAAAAGAAAAAAGTCGAGCGAGGGAGTGGACCATGGTGGGGTCATGACCCGTAGCCCGAAGGCATAGCGCCGGTGAAAGGCCCAGCGGCTATTCTCGTGATGGGCCTTCTTTCCTTACTAGTTGAGGCGCACCCGCGCGCGCTATTTCAGACTACAGAACTCGTCTGCACAAGATCCCTGACGCCATTGCACTGTTATACACGAACTTATTGCTCAGAGAAGTAATCGACCGTTGAGAACTGCAACATCAGCAGAAAATAAAGTGATTGCGCAAGTCTGGTTCCTCCCTCGGGCCTTACTTGACGCTCCTAGAGTTGCTACCCATTGACGAAGATGTAAATAAATCGTTTTAGCATTGGTATTTAGAGGATTGTATAAAATTTTTCAGTGTCTCCTTCACTGCCATTGCATCCCTCACAAACAACTGTGGATTCTTTTCAAGGGTCTTCCAAGTCTCTTAATACATACAAATCCAAGAGTAAGGCCCTACTGATTCTTCACACGGCTCTGATCGGATGATAATTGGATAGATTACGCAGAACCTCCTTCATCCTGATAGCATCGCGTTTATATCCCCGTTTTATGTGTTATATCGCGCCACCCTTGCCTTGTGTACACTGTACTCTTACATCTAACTGAGCGTTATCGCGACAATGCCTTGCACGTTTCTCAGTTACTAGTGTAGCTAGCTTGAAGAAACCAATGCTTGAGTTATATTAAGCCTGTAAGTAAAATGTTGTTATTTGTTCAGACGTGGATTTTTTTTTGTTTACTAATTTTTATTTGGAAGAAACAAGCCTTTCTTAAGCTTACTGCCGAAGTAATTGACTCCTTCGTCAGTATTATAAAAGAATAGATAATTAGTAATCATCACGAAGAGCATAACTGAGGGGGCAGCGTCAGACCCCAGCATGATTTCGTGCGCAATCGCGAAAAGCGGAACGAGATCCTGGCAGGCGATGCCTGAAGCAACAAGAGAAAGAAGAGGACAAGAAGAGTCCCACCAAAGAGAGAGTGCAGCTGATACGCCTTGAGAGATACTTGAACGAAGCCAATCGCCGAAGAGACCCGTGGCTGTGGGAAAATAATCTCGAGAAAGAAGTCTACTTGGTGTAAAAAGTGTAAAACCGACGATTAACTGCAGCTTTGCGCGCATGCCCTTGCTTCTGCACAATCTTTTCTTGCTTTATATCTTATTTCTTTTCCATTCGATGTCGTCATTTAGAGCTGTCTGTTTACCGTGCCCATCAATTTATCATTTGCAATCGAATCCGTAACTCTTCATCCATCAAAGGGGAAAGCAGTCAAGGGAGACTTGGGGGCTTGCTGTGAAATTTATTGTCCCACACTTATAGCTGGATATATCTGATACATAATGGTGACGGTATGTACATACATAGCTTCATCCACAGCGAATGGTCACAAAATAAATGCAAGGGTCCTCACGGTCACGCGGCAGCAGCAGCTCCGTGACAAATTTATTGAGTAACGCCGTCTCACGTGTTGCAGCATTTCCTTAGAATTTTGCTTCCATAAACTACGTTATAGTGCAGAATTGTTTATGTGCAATCTATTCCTTGCCTCGATTTTGATGGAAGGCTCTCATCATGGTCATTGCCAACTTGGTAATAAATTAAATCTAGGAGAAACGGACCTATTAGCGTGCCATTAGTAAGGTTGGCCATGCGTGACTACTGTGGGCATCACATTTCAAAATGCTGCGTAAGGGGGTTCTATAACTTTACATTCTTCTGGTCAGATCGTAAGTCCTCATGTTTTGTAGCTTCCGAGACTCCATTTTAACCGCTGTGCGGACGACGACCCTTGTTGCTCTCTAGAAGTCTGGATGATTCGTTCTAATTAGCACCCAGGAGTTGCAAACTGTTAGCAAAATGTTTCCTCTTCTTTCGAATACTTCTTAGAGTATTGTATTTTTTTTTTAACATAAAATAACCTATGGGTAGCCATGAAGAAATCTGGAATATCGTTCCCAAGGGAGTCTTCATTTATTTGTATTTTTTGATTTAGAAAAATTCTCAATACATACAATCTGCATTATGTACTGTGCAAGGTATGAAATTTTTGATAAGATAACGAGATAATTAATCGGATTGATAATGTAAACTCGTTAGCAAGTGATTACCATTATTAATGATTGCTAATAATATTCAAACCCTTTTTCAACTTCAGTATGATATTCACACTTGAAATAACAAATCGTTTTGAGACCACAAAGTCTTGGTCTGATGATTCTTCCTGGGTGCTGAGATTTGTGTTTTTCAAAACGAGTCTTAGTTGCAGAGAATTAAGTGAGTAGTCGACTGGAGCTCGATGATGGTCGTCAGAGAGAGGGTTGAGGGCCATCGAACGAACAGTCTTGCTCTCAGGAGCGTATGGGATCGATACATCATGGGTGCACAGCAGGGGGCCTCCCACCGATACGATCTACTCGCTCTCAGTGTAACCTCTCTCATATCGTTTATATCCTTGGTAAAACGTTTATCGAATGAGACCTCACTAACATCATTATACATTGTGATGTTCTTTCCAATATAACTGGAACGTTTGTTGGATTTTTGAATGAATATTTTTTTCAATTTCGCATTAATTAGTAAGATAATATCATGCATAATGAGATCTACAAAACAATTTTAAGTGTTTATTTACATAGAAAAAATTGTTCTAAAACTATTTATTAACTCGTAAGAAACATTTCTAAGATCACTGTAGAAAATGTTTAAAAATGTCTTTTTAACTGTTTCATAATTTTAAAGGAGATTCTGAAAAATAATATATCACAATTTTTGTTACTTTTTTCAGAAAATAAATAAGTATAATAATTTACAAATTTTTTAGTTGGGTCGAAACAAATTCTATGAAACTAATTTTATTTGCATTATCACCGAATCCTTAAGTGAGCAAGACACTTGTCTTAATTTCTCGGACAGGTCATAAATGTTAGCTTTACGATCCTAGGGTAGATACATGGCTTTCAAGTCCACAGAATATGCAGTAGGTATAACAGGTCTCAAGTAGACAAGTACACTGCGCCTTACGACTGACACCATGAGAGTCGAGGGAAAGAAATGCACGCAATATTGCCAGCAGAACGACCGAGAAGCGAAGATAAATCGTGCTGCAGAACAGGAGAAAGAAGAAGACGAAGAAAAAAAAGAGAAAGAAAAGGAGAAGCTGCATATAACCCGATGAGGCCAAGACTTTTTTTATTCGAAGAACTTTATTCGCATTTCCGAGTCAGCTCGTTATGATAAGTCTACAAGACATTACCGAATTACCAGCAAAAAAATTTCAAACATTAATTAAATACTTAATTGTTTTTAATTGCTTTTGCTTACTTTAATCTTAATGTCTATGGTAAATTGTTTAACTATTTATTTATGTAATCATGTGTATATACATGAATATAAGCTAATAGTGAATAATTTAAACAAAATTACTCTACCTATCCCTGAATTCCCCCACTAACGCAAGTGTGTGTCCCGTTTCACAAGGTACTTTGCAGACTCCTTTAGGTTTTACGATACCAATTACCTGAGCGCTGCTGTACTTACGAGAGTATATTGGACCTCGAGGCCACCGTAGCTTCTTTCCACCAACTCTTTCTCTCGTCGTCTTTTGCTTCAGAGCTATGCCGTTATACATTGAAGCAATTTTCTTCTTCAGAATGGATACTATCGAAATTGAAACAAATCGAGATGTCATTAAAATAAATAACTACTCATATCTTTCTATTAAATGACTAATAATATTACTCTGTTTCAAATTTTCACCTTGAATTGGGCATTTAAAAGTCTTTCAAACTTTTCACTTGATTCATAAACTAAGAAATGAGCTTCATAATTCTAGTAATTCGAGTAAACTTCGGTCATAAAATGGTACAGAAGACTTGAAAATTTTTAATTTGCTATTGTTACTGTTTTGACTTTTGTTTAAGTATAAATAAAATAAACCATAAAAATAAAATTTTTAAGAATGTAGACAAAGATGCAGAGTAAATGACATTCAAAGAACACAATTGATAACATAAATATCATTTACTCGAAATTAAAAAATTGATGTATTTATATTTGTTAATCATATTATTGTGATTGTAATTTACCAATAATAGTTACT